TGCACTGTTTTGCACTTTTATAAATGTCGTTTTTAGTATAAGTATGCAAATTAATATGCTTTTGTTATAATGTAAAGCTTGGGAATTAGAGGTATGAACCTATACTGGTCTCACGCTTCGGTTACGATTATCATGCCATCGATTCGGTTCAATTCGATATCTTGGTGCATCACGGTGCATTGACGATGCTTTCCATACATAGTTTTATATTTTGAGGGGAGGCTATAACAAGCTGTTATGACAAACAGCACTACATTATCTCTTATTCAAACACATAGACAGCACCAAACAAACAAACACACACACACACACACACACACACACACACACACACACACACACACACACACACACACACACACACACACACAGCCCTCTCAATATGCGTTTAGCCGGAAGAGCTTGTGTTGAGCATAGCAATAAAAAAAAAAACAAAAAAAAAAAACACGAATAAAAAGAAGAGCATTCCTGGCTAAACGCATATTGCGAGGGCTTAAAGGAAGCTGTGGTCGTAATGTCGAGCGAAAAAAGAAAAAAAAAAGAAAAAGACAGCTGTGAAACATAACCAGCTTTGTCTTTTTTGTAGGAAACACACTTTAGGTCTTTTTAGGGTAAGAGGTTTTTGAGTTAATGCCGCTATAACTGAGTGTGTGTCAGGAATATCGAAAACAAAACCAACTGAACCGCGCTCATTTCTGGCGCCCCCCTGAATGTACAGCGCCCTTAGCATTTGCCTTTACTGCCTATGCCACGGGCCGGCCCTGAGTTGCCTCCTGAGTGTTGTAAATAGCAGCGCTCGCCTCCCTCGCGAGAGAGCGCATATGAGATAAATGACGTCAGTACATAATAACCCAGGGATAGAAATTGCGACCATTTTGGTCGCATATGCGCCCGAAATTTCAGCTATGCGACCTCATAATATAAATTGGAAGCATTTGTAAATAAAACGTCTAAAAACGTCGTAAAATTGGTCTTCCCTGCTGCTATATTGTTTTTATATTAGCTGTCAATCACTCAAGACTTTCCGCTGTCAGATGACAGGGTGGGAGCTTTTGTGACCGTGGGGAATGCAAACGGCTGAAGAGTGAAAAGTACACTGAATCTCGATGCGTTGCATGCACTGCGTGTTCAGCCAACACAATCTCACGGCAATTCATAACTTTTTTATACGTTTCCTTGTGAGATCAGGCTGCAACAGCACACGTCCGCTAAAACACCATCGCCAAAGAAGCTTGCCTTTACTGAATTTAAACTGGTGGTCATCAGGAGAATCCTGCTCTGCCTACTCATATATTGGGCCGGCTGACTCGCATGCTTTTCCGCAAACACAGAAAAATGTAATTCAGCCCATAACGAGGCTGAGCATTAAAACGACACGAACCGAAACCAAAACTTTTAAAAGTGAGACTTTCTTGAGGTGTATATAATTTTTCTATTTATTTACTGATGACTGGTTTGCAGCTTTCAGCATCGAATTGAATGATTTATTATAATATTTTGTTTGTTTTGTAGCAGAAATATTATTTGTTAAACTGATATGCATATAGACACAATAGTACAAAATTAATATTTCTTACTACGATGCTTCATTTGTGTTTGATGCAAACCATTGGTTTATTTTTCATAAAGTAATAGTAGGACTTTATATCGCAGATAACTTACATTAAAGCACATTCAAGGCAGCATGATGATGAGAAATGTAATTAATTATTAGTATTATTGTCTTCATCGTCATCATTAATATTTTATAATTATTCTACATTAATTTTGGAATTAATTTTGGAAGTCATCTCAGCATTAGTTAGATAGTTGTTTCTGGTTTTGTTAGTCTTAATTGATGTTGTTTTCAAATACAATAAATCCCTTAATATACAATTTGCAGCGTTGCTCATTCATTTTTGGTGGGTGCTCCTAAATTTTTTTCTGGTGCTCCTAAATGTTTCAGGTTGGGAGCACCGGTGCTACCAAGTAGAAAAGTTAATTTCAAGCCCTGTAACCGGTTATGATTATTACTGAACCGATACCGAATTGTCCGCATCTGCATCGCGGTGCACCGAAGAAACAATTAATTTTGACACCCCTATTGGGAATGTTACCTTCTCAGCCTACTGTATAGGAAATTCTTCAATTTTTCACTTTTCCTTCCAGCTTAGTCCCTTTATTTATCACAGTCTCCACAGTGGAATGAACTGCCAACTTATCCAGCATATGATTTATGCAGCAGATGCCCTTCCAACCACAACACAGTACTGGGAAACAGCCATACACATTCTCACATTCATAAATATTGCGAGCGTAAACATCAGGTGAGCTGGTTACATTGTAACCCCATATTGTAACAACACGCTACGTGATGAGATTCAAGTACATGATAATGAGAAATGTAATTCATTGTTAGTATTATTGTCATCATTAATATTTTAGAACTATTTGACATTCATTTTGGAATTGTTGCACAAATATCAATACGTCGTCACAGCATCAGTTAGATAGGTTTTTCTGTTTTTTGTTAGTCCTGATTGATGTTTTAAAATACAATAAAACCCTTAAAATACAGTTTGATCCATGAATGCAATCCTTAGTTCAACCACTGGTTGACAAACTTGCATACCACACCTTTGTATAACTTTTATAAAATAGTTGAAACCTGATTAACTTTTTTAAATAGGTTAAAGTAACATTAAAAATGTATTGTCATGTCTCCTTGTAATTTATTTTTTATTTTTGTGCAGTGTATGAGGTCTGGTCTGTCTCCCACTTTGACTTTTTACATGCTCGGATTTGGGTCACAAGACAGTACAGTGTAGCTCAGCTGGATCAAACATCCCTCAACTCAAAACACTTCTGCCTCATTGAACTAATGCCATGAACACCATGTGCTGCTGTTGCTCTAGACATTACAAACAATTATACTATATAATGAAAAATGTATAATATCGAATGCTTGATTCTAAGAGTCACTCTGGGGTCCCCAAAATGCTGTGGGCCTTTGGAATAATCCTAACTCCACCTAAAAAGCACCCCAAAATTAATAATAAAGAAATGCTGTTAATTTGCTTAGCCTCTGGGCATCCAAGATGGCCATCCTTCAGTATTTCGAAGACTCAAGGTACACATTTGTTTGCTTCCAACATATTACTTGAACATATCATCTTGCTTGTTTCTTTCACCTTTGCTTCATATAAGCCTTATTCACACCACAATGACAGAAGAAAGCAGACTATCACTAGACATCATTACGCCATTTAAGCATATTTAATCTCCAAAAATGAGCTCTGAGAGACACCAACTTTATAATTATTCTAATGATCATTATTATTTCCAATGATAAGGTTTCATATTATTTATTTTTAAATAATGTGATTGGATATAATGTCAATGTAAATATTTTAAGAGGAAATATAATACACATTTTTCTGTTTTAATCATTAGGGACAGAGCACCGAAACAGCGCGTAGGCCCTATCGGAATTGCTCTGTTTATTCTTCTTCCATGGAATGAATCGCGATTTTGAGGAGCTAAACATTGCCGAAAACTCAAACTATGCACACGCCTCAGAAGTGGCGAAAATTTAGGTTTGTTATGGGTTTCGGAAGTGGGCGTGGCAAAATGACTCAACAGCGCCACCTATGCACTTTTGACAGACTTGCCCACGAGCTGTACACGTACGAAAATACACGTATGGCACACACCTCAAACACATCAAAACCTACAAAAAAAAGTCTCTTGGAGCGTCATCTCAAACCCAACAGGAAGTCGGATATTTTTAATTTTCTGCAGTGAAAAGGTGCATTTCCAGGCATTGTATATTAACGAACTCCTCCTAGGGATTTTATTGGATCAACACCAAAATTGGGTTTTGTCATCTAAAGGCACCAATCCCCCCAAATCCCCCCCCCCCCCCCCCCCATCATCAGGGGGCCCCGTCAGTGATCCCTGCTGGGGGGCCTCCGCATTTTGCGCTACACCACTGTCGCTGTCATGCTGAGGCTACCGGGCAGCGGTAAACCCGGGTGCGAGGTCCCTATCATTGCTGCTTGCAGCTTTAATCTTTATTTCTTGTTTATGTAAAGCACTTTGAATTACCATTGTGTATGAAATGTGCTATGTAAATAAACTTGCCTTGCCTAATATAGAGATTGGAGTTGGATTTCATATCAAAAGCTTTTTGCAGAAATGTGAATATTGCACCTTTATATACAGTTTTTATTAAATTTTAAAAACACTAATCAAAAGTCATCCAACCAATTCCACAATAATTGAAAGTGTCTTATTTATTTTAGCAGCTCTTAGTTCAGCTTTTGTCCAAATTGTCCATATTTGTGTGTAAATTCAGTTATCATCTCGAGATACTGACTCTAGCTTTATTGTGTGCTCTGATTCTGTGTCGGTTTGCTGCTGGCTGTTCTTTTTTTTTCTTGTGCAATTCCCAAGCTGTTCATTGGATAAACCAGCACTCTGTTGTTTTGGCAGGGGAGGAAGGGCAGTAAATCTGGACTGCCTCTAAATGTATCTAAGCTGGTCATTGGATCAGTTGCTGAAAGAAAATGTGCATTAAAAGAAAAAAAAGACTGTTATTGACTAATCAATAGGTCAGGGAGGCAGATCCCCATCTGAAAAGTCATTTCACCTCCCATTGTTTTGATGAGTCATTACTTGGTTCACTCGGTGTTTATTGGTGTAAAACCCTTTTTGTTGCTGATGTCAAAACAACATGCAGGGTTAAAAATTGTGTGTTTTTTTTAAATTTTTTATTTGTTTTGTACTGATTGGTGAGGGTAAGGCACCGCTGTGTGCTCTTTCTCTCTCTGGAAGCTTAGCATTAGCTGCCGCTAAGCTGCTCAGATCTCTGAGCCTTCCCACCCCAATAGACACACACACTCAGACACACACGCACACATCTCAGTGCCATGTGGAGAATTGCACACTAATCGCTGATCTCTCTCTCTCTCTCTCTCTCGCTCTCTCTCTCGCTCGCTCACTCACTCTCTTTAATCTAGCATTTTTCCCTATACCACACACACACAGCAATCACACACAATTGTGATTTATAATCTCACATTTACACGCTCAAAGAGGGGGATCTACAGTCTCCTCTCGATTTCTCAGATTAACGGGGATGAGGTGAAGGTCCAGTTCTCATGCATGCCTCCATCACATATTCCTCTCTTTATTTGTCAATGAATGAGCACACACATTATCATCAGCCTGATGGATGTTGCGTCCTTTGGACTTTGTTTGCCTGAGGTTGTGTTTGATGTACTGGATTAGCATTGCTTTCTTGAGGATGTAGATGAGAGGTTTTTGCATGGGGTTTTCCAGGATTCTCCAGAACTATGAGTGAGATTCAAGGTAAGAGCTGTAAATGGCATGCGGACGGCTTTAAGCTTTTAATGCTCCAAATATGGTGATCCCCACCGCAAAAAAAACCCTTATTAAAATATACAAGCAGGTTTATATTTATGTATGCAATCCCATTTATTTTGTATGTAGACAAATTAAGGCTTGGCGATTAATGAAAAAATAAACAAAATCGACATTCAGAACCTATAATCTATCGGATTTTTCCTGGCCGATTTTTTTTTCAATTACTTTCCCTACTGTGTGTGAATTCACGTGACCCGGCTCTGTTAGCCACACTTTGCAGCCACATCTGATCTCTGGTCAAGTAGGACACATTCTTGTGCCTTGCTAGGGTTGTAACGGTATGATTTTTTTACGGTATGATAATCGTCTAAAACAATACCACGGTTTGACGGTTTCGCAGTATACGGTATGTTACAAATGTTACAAAATAATAGAACAGTGAAGCAAATTTGACTTTTTCCAAATAATATATTTTCAGTTACTATAAACAACACCACTTACAATGAACAAATAAAAAAATAAGAAAATAATAAATAATGTGTCAAAGTCCAAATAAAGTCCAAATAAACATGGTGCAAATCCTCAGTAAAAAATAGATATAAATATTTACTATACTATAAATAGTTACATAACGAAACTAGATTCAATATGGAACATCCTTAGGTTTTATGTGCCAGCATGGATATGGTTGTCTGTGGATATGGATTTGGATGTGGTTGTCTGCAATGCAGACAAACAGCTGCACCTTCATTTGCGTCTTTTGAAAACAGCAAGAGCAGCAGTTCGTCTTTGCTGTGTCACTGTTTTGTCATGTTTCTGTGCTGCTGTGCATGCAAAAGTACTTAGTATGAGAATTATTTCATGCAAAACTTTTTTTTTGCGTTTTATTTAGCCGCGCAGAAATGTATGCCTATCTCTCATTCTGTGTTGTTCAAAAAGCTCGTTTTTGGTCCACAAACAAAAGCGAAACCTATGCTTATTGGTTGTGATATAGCGAGTTTAAACCAATCTGGGCATGGAGGAGGGACAATGCATCAATGTATCGTGTCTGGTTTGTCCGGAGACACAGTGACGAGCGTTTCTTTGTCAAATCAGCGTTGTCAAATTTTGATGACGTAACCGCACTGATTCCGGAGCCTCCGGAGCCGCGAATGTTATGTGATACAGCACTGGAAAGCTGAGATTCTCTTCTTTATGCCAATCTTTGAATTGTATAAATCGGATCAGCGGATCAAAAGTTATTAAACATTTAAAAGCAATACTTATTTTTAGCCGCGGGCGGCTGTCTCTGTCTTTAGGGGTTAAAACCGTTGATATATAATTGTTCATGGTATGATAATCGTGCACGTTCAAATCGTGGTAGACCGTCATACCGGTATATTGTTACAACCCTATGCCTTGCTTTGCACTACATTAATGATGATTGTAAGCTGTGCCAGAGATGCCTTGAGACGACATATTTCCATTGCATTAAAATTATTATTTATATTAAAATATTTGTTTACAAAAGATGCAAGAAATGTACTGGTTAAAATATTATTTACAGGGCATGGTTTCCGCTACATTCATTCTTCCATGGCAGGCCACCACACCCAAAATTCATCCCGCCACGGCTACATTACAGCTTCTCATTCTAAACTTTTTTTTTTTTTTTTTTTTTTAAATAGTGGGTGGTAATCGCACCAAAACGTATTAAAGGGAAAGTGAATTATAACAGCGGTGAAGCAGTGGCGCAGTAGGTAGTGCTGTCACCTCACAGCAAGAAGGTCGCTGGTTCGAGCCTTGGCTCAGTTGGCGTTTCTGTGTGGAGTTTGCATGTTCTCCCTGCGTTCGCGTGGGTTTCCTCCGGGTGCTCCGGTTTCCCCCACAGTCCAAAGACATGTGGTACAGGTGAATTGGGTAGGCTAAATTGTCCGTAGTGTGGGAGTGTGTGTGTGTGTGGATGTTTTCCAGAGATGGGTTGTGGCTGGAAGGGCATCCGCTGCGTAAAAACTTGCTGGATAAGTTGGCGGTTCATTCCGCTGTGGCGACCCCGGATTAATAAAGGGACAAAGCCGACAAGAAAATGAATGAATGAATTATAACAGCACAAACCTTTCAAACCTTTCTTGGAGACATTTATAAACATTCCTAGCAAATCTAATAGATGCTGGAGATATACTCGTTACATAAACGCTCTAAATCGCACTCAGCAGCGTTTGTTTGAGAGCGCACAAGAAGATCTGCATGCTCTTGAAGCAGCTTATATTTGAGGTGCCGTGCAAGAAGTTTTATGCACGAGCAGAGGAAATTGGTGTGCAAGCAGAGATTCACATGCTTTTACATTGTAGGCAGGGCCGAAGCAAGCTGAACTGCCGCTCTAGGCAACAGACGATCATCACCTTCCTCCGAAAGGAAAAACGAAAGTGACCGTTTAGCGGATATAACTTAGGATGCGGGTGGTAAGGGAGGTGTCACGGATGCCGCCCTCTCTATTCTGCCACCCTAGGCGTGGATATAACTGCTGAGGATGCGGGTGGTCGTGGATGCCTCTCTATTCTGCTGTAGGTCGCCTCTATGGACGCGCCGGCCCTGCATGTAGGGTATTACATAAATGCGATCTCGACTTGTAATACTGTGCTCACGACATTTGTCATTGAAATAACGCCACAGGTATTTGGTAGATCTGTGTAAAGAAAAAACAACAACAACAACAACAACAACAAAAGGCCTGCCACCACAGCTGGAAAAAATCCCAGAGGAAACTGCAGGGTATACAAGAGTTATTTTATTTAGACAAGATGCTGCTTATTTTTCACTTTTAATATAAAAAAACACTGAAAATAATTTATTTTGTTTCCTAAAGTGCAGGTTATCTTGTTTCACTTACTTTTATAAAGAAAAAGTCACTGTTGGTTTTAGGCAATGTGTGTTTTTAATTTTAAAAAAGCATTTTAAAACGAAAACGACAACCACACTGGCATATCATCTAGTACAGTATTTCTCAACTGGTGGGAACATTTTCAGTGGGTCACGGAGTGTGTGGTCAAAAAATTTAAAATTAAAGTTTTTTACTTATTGTGTTATTTATTTTGAAATGTGTGCACAGCAACCATACCGTTTGACATATGAAATTTCATTTAATTATAGCAACAAATATGTCAAAGCACAAGTACGACCCCCAATATGTAAAGTATGGATTTACATATATTCACGGCAAAAAAAGACTTAAAGCCTCTGTGTGTCATAAGTAGTGAGGTGCTTCCTCAAGGGAGCACGAAACCTTCTAAATAAAAACAACATTTAGAAACTAAACAACATGTTTTATTAACAGTTTGGTTCATGGTAACTGAAATTTTCCTTACCCTAACCACCGTATTTGTTGCTTTTACTCTAATATTTCTATAATTTGATACATTTTGTTAAATGACAGCAATAAAATATAGTTTATTTGTAAGTATTGGTAATTTTCGTATAATTTATCTGTCACTACTTGAGTATAGTAACAAATGGATAAAAATTAATTATAATTCCCAAAATTGTATTATAGTTCCTAAAAAAATTTGGGTCGTGGCTTGTTGACCATGTAAAAATGTGGGTCCCATGGCCAAACCAGTTGATCTAGCATTTCTAAACAGCCTTCCTCGACACTGTATTGCTAAAAATGTACATAATATGACCATGCACACACTCTGGCATGCTGCAGCTTATGCGCTCATCTGAGCTTCAACAGTCAGCAGGTGCTTTGAGCAGAAAACCCCAGAAAGCGGTGCACGTCGGACAGTTTATCAGGGATGTACCACTGGATCCTACTATAGTTGTTTAGCATGATATTTAATTAATGTTGTCTCTATCTAACGACTCTTAGGTCATTTGAATCTATCAGGTAACGTATCACATCGTCAGTACACTGCTTTCACTTTCACCATTGTACTTAATAACTTTAGTGAAAACCTCAGATACTGTTGCTTGTGCACATTTTTACCAACCAAGTTTGTCGGCGTCATTATAACGACACAGATCACTCTGCCTATTCATGCCAGAGTCCAGTGGAAAAAGTGATTGATAGGAGGTAATTTGTGTGCAACTTATCTTTATTAATATATGATTTGTTTATGGGTAAAACAGACCATGCGGGTCAGGTAGTTGAAACGGTAGGATACAAATAATTAATTTGTTATGAATGAATTAATCATACATAAATAATTAATTCACCGCCGCCCATGACTACGATTTAACGTTTAGAATTGAGTCTGGAAAAGTTCAATGGAAAAAAGTAATCTAGAAAATATAGTATGTAATTTAAGGCCAAAAAAGTTGCCTGTGTTTCTTTTCAGTCTGTCTGCAGCCAAACATGTGAACTTAAGGTCATTAAAACTAGGTTCAACTTTAACCTTTGCCCTAAAATTTGATCACCTGATGCCCCATCCAGACTCCTTTACAATGCAATAGATTTTATGTGATTTGAGATGTAGCCTATGCTATTGTGCATTTTGATACACCTCGGAAAATTGTTGAGTAAGCTGGTAAACAAGTGTTCAGTTTTAACAGGTATCTCTTTATTTTTCTCCCGTCCATATGTTATCTTGTGTAACAAAAGCAAGCCCCTGATTTACATAGCATTTATTTAATGCTTTGTCTTTGGACCTCAGTCCCTCTCTGACTCCAGCAGTTCTGCTTCACTGCACACACTGGCATGGAAACCCTTCAGTGCAGAGCCAAGATGGACCACACCGATACTAGAAGAAAATAAAGAGCACATGCATGCCTCCTATAGGTGCTTTAGTTTGACTGTCAATCTGTTTGTTCGTATTTGATTATCAAACATCCCCCTAATGGAGGATGCTTCCTTAAATCCACTTTAACCTTAATAGCAGTTCCACTATAAATTCGTTTTTTTCCTTGATTCATTTTGAGTACCTTGACTGACTAACCTCTCTTCTTGAACTTTGACTTTCTAACTAGCTTAACAAAACCTCAGTGCAGCTTGATGCTGAAAAAATAAG